ATCCCAGGGAGAAAGTACAGCTGGTGCAGACTTGGAGGCAGACGTTTGTCCAGAGTAAGGCAGAGAGGCAGGCCATGCGGCTGGAGTGCGATTAGAGGGAGAAAAGGAGAGGGAGGGAGGACAGACCACAGGGCTTTGATGAGTCATCTATTGAGTGTTACGTGACAATGACCCCAAACTGAGATGAAAACATTCCTTATTTCTCTGTTTCTATGGAGCAGGAGTCTGGGCACAGCTAGCTGGGAGCCTCGGCCTCAAAATCACTGTGGAGGCTGGGGCTGTGGGTTCATACGAAGCTTGACTGGAAGTCGGTTGGCTTCCAAGCTCACTCACCTGTGATGAGCAGGGTTCAGTTTCTTGTGAGCTGTTGGATTGAGGGCTTCAGCTCCTATTGTCCAGGCCCTCCCTCAGTTCTTTGCCATGTAGGCCTTGCCATTGTTGTCAATTGCTATTGAGTAGGTTCTGACTCATAGAGACCCTGTATAGGGTTCTCAAGAAGCCTCTGGTGGATTTGAACCACTGACCTAGTGCTTATCCTGCAGCACCACACCAGGATTCTGCCATAGGTCAGCTCTTAATATCTCGCCTTGCTTCCCCAGAGCAAGTGGTCCAGAGGGGGAGGGAACACAAGAAAGAGTACACAGTAGTACACAAGATGGAAGTCACAGGCTTTTTACTACCAAATCCTGAAGTAGCATCCCATCACATTTGTCACATTCTATTGGTTGTAGGAGAGTCAACAAGTCCAATCCGTACTCTAGCAGATTGCAGGAGGATGTGAACACCAGAGGTCAGGGAGTGCGGGGAGTCCCTGGGCAGGCTGCCCACCCCACTGGCTGACATGAGGCACTTGGGTGTGGTTATAAACATAATGGAAGCCATGGGAAGGTTTTGTCAGGAGATAATGACATTTTTTCATTTCCACCCCCTCATGGTACATATTGGGAAAAGAGATTGTAAGGCAGGTGCTTGACACCAAGTAGATTCACGGGGTCAGGCAGCCAAAAGAACACTCCAGGTGTGGTAGGGAGATGGCTTATTCCTTCATTCAGTGATCAGTGCAGGAGGAGGGGTCTCAGACAGTCTCTTGCCCTTCCCATCTCTGTCTGCTCTCAGAGCTCTCTCTTGTTTCCTCCCCTGTGTGGAAATTCCCACATGGCATATATACTACTAAAGAAAAAGAAGGCATCTTGCCAAATACGACTCACAGGTTACATAGCAGCATTCTAATATGGCAGTATGCATAGCAATGACAGCATCTTCTAGTTTCCATAGTAACCACCAAGTCCGCTTCCGGTTGGAAGAAGAGGGTCCCTGCTAATCTTTGGCGCCACCTTCTGACCCAACAGAGACCAATAGGAGAAATGACTTAGACAAGATCACATCACTAGGGACCCCACTTGTTTTGAGGTGGGCTTCATTTCATGCTGCTCACCACCCTTTTTCGTCATCTTCCATCTCTAAATTTGTGCTATGTATGACACAAGCTCATAAATTTTATAGGTAATATCTTACCTATGTGAGGTGGTATCATTAGGAAGTAGAGACTAGAGTGATCCCCATTGTCATTGCGGGTAGGGGAACTAGAAACACTGAAACACGCAATGCCTTGTTTAAAGTCACAGAAGTAGAAAAAAAGTCAAGCTGCCTAAACCCATCTGCTCCTCAAAGTCAGTGTCCTGGCTGCACTCAGGCCTTTCCCGGGAGTTAAGGGGAAGGCTGTGTTTGGTGTCATTGTATACAGTTAAGGAGCTAGCATTGTGGGGGAGGGGAGAGGACAAATAGTCATAAAAGCTTTTGGGGTGGTCTTATTCAAGGAGGGGACACAGGTAGAAGCAGGGCTTCAGAAAAGTCATCTGAGGAATGACCTCACTTCCTTAACAATAAAGCCCAACAAAACTTAAAACTCTTGTAACCACATGCTCACAGGTTAGAGACAGTTCTCTGCTTCCCTCAAGGTGCTAGAGATACTCAAGAAAGTAGCTTCCTGAGGTGTATCTAATTCCAGACTTCAAGACTCAGGAAATCCCATAGTGAGACCCTTTTTCAAAGATTCAGACACTGTCTCAGCCATCACCCTTGAAGCCTTTGACCATTTAGCAAGAAGAATCTAAAGATAACACAGGGCCGCCTAGGTCAGACCACCCCCTAGAACTCTGCATCTCTTCTCCAGTGTTCCCTCAACCCCCGGGTACCTAGAGCCTGGCTCAGGCCCAAGTCCTAGCTCATGTACATGCCTGGCCCCCTAGAGGGCCCTAGCAGTAGTGACGCGTGAAAAGAGGTAGTGAACTAGAGGGGTTTTCTGAAGGACTGTTGTTGTTGTTGTCAGGTGCCATCGAGTCGGAACCGACTCATAGCGACTCCATGCACTAGGACTAGGGGCCCTTTTCTGAGGGACACTGGCTGTGTGCCTTCCAGGGAATCCTTATCAAAGGCAAGCATCTTTGGTAATCACTTCAGGGTGGGGATGTGACAAGCAGAAATCCACCTGGGCAAAACAGATCTGACTTTATCCCCCCTTCTTTTTAGATGAATGGGGAATTTTTAATACACGGAAAAGGGAAAATCCAGTCCCCAGTAGAGGGTGGGAGGTAGAGGGATGGCTTGAAGACAGCTTCCTGGAAGGACTGTTTGAATCCAGCTCCGACCACCGATAGGGACCTACATGAGAGTGTGGCCCCCTGCCCCACTCACCACCCATCACCCATGCTCAGTCAGCATTTTGTCCTTCCCTTGGAACCCAGGAGTTCAATGTGTTACAAAAAATCAGCAACAGCTCTAACATGGTGCCCCAAAAACAATGTGGGGCCTGGTTCCAGACTACAGAGCAGTTCCGTGAGAAGGAGAGGGAAAACCTGGGCAGCAAATGGGCATTGGCAGGGGCAGCCAGATTGACCACATGTGGCCATGGACCTGCTGCCTGGGGCACCGGGTCTTCAGCATTGGGGCCAGCATTGGAACAAAGACAGTGAGATGCCTACAACCTGTCCTGTGAACTGGTGCTTCAGTTCAAGTTGGCGAGCAGCACCAAGGCCAAGTGAATGTCACCATCTTGGCAGGAAGGGGCAGGTTACAGAGAAGCTTCCAGGTTAAGTGTGGTCTTGGCAAGTCTGACAGCCTGGTGCTGGGATCCCAGCTCCTCTGCTGGTCAGCCTTGTGAGCCTCCTTTTCCTCCTCTGTAAAGTGGGCTGATGCTAAAAGCCCTCTCTGATGGCTGGAGTGAACTCAGCACTGTGGATTAGGCATTTCACAGTGCCTGACACAGTGCAGTGCTAGTATGTGAAGGGTGGAGGACTCCATCCAGGTTTTAGCAGAGCTCAGCACTAGTTGCAGCTCTCGCTCCGAGTGCGGCGACCAGCTCAAATACAGACAGTACTTCAGCAGCAGGGACTCAGCTGACTTAGTTCACATTTGGTCAGGTCCTCCAGCTCCAGCTTGGAGGAGAATCAATGTGAGCTGTGTCCTGGAGTCCCTAGAGGACTGGGAGAAGGGGACTACCTTGTCCCTTACTCTGACAGCCTTTCCCCAGCCTCTTCCTTCATCATGCCAGGGCTCCCCATTCTGCATCTGCAAAAGGTGCCTATGCGTTCAGACCTGAGATTATAGACTCTCCCAGGAGCTCTGGACACTCCACTGGGGTGTCCTGCAGGGTCCAGCGTATCTGTGCTATCCCGCACAGTTCAGGGAGTGGCCCTTTATGTTGTCTCTGAAGACTTGTGGTGTGTCCGCTTGTCCTCCAGAAGCATCTTCAACTTCTCCAGCTCCACCACGCCTGTGGCTGCCATGTGCACATGTGCAAGTTCTGTCTCAGGGATCTGCAACTACAATTCCTCCTCGCTGGCACTCTACGACCAGAGGTGGTTGATTCCTGTATCATCTGCAGCAGCCTGGACATAAACATGGAACATGCATAAAAGCATCTGAGAGGAGCAGGCAGGTGAACTCTTGGTCCCTTCAGTCATACCTCTCTGGAAACGGTCTTGTCCTGAAAGACTCTTTTGACAAGTCATCAGCTCTGGGCCTTCCAGCTCCATGCCCACCCCTGGGAGGAGGCAGATGGCTATCAGAACACCCCACTGTGTACAGAGGGTAAGGAGGTGGGTCTCCTCATCCTTGGAGGATACTTGGGGATTCCTGCTTAGTTGTAGATAGACAGTGTGCTCATAGAATCTTCTTCTCCCTGCAACCATGCTAAGCCCTTGCCCAACTCAGAGACTCCCTGCTTGCAAATTCTTCCCTATGACCCACACATCCACACTGAACTCATTTTCAAGACTGGGCTCAGAGGCTGCCTCATTGGGCCCTTGATGTCAGACCCACAAAGGGGTCAGGCCATAGCCCTGTAAAGAGCAAGCACATGCTGAGAATTCTCAGTGGCTCGGTTTCCTCAAATACAAATGGGGTCAGTGACTCCAACTTCATGTGTGGTGGGAATTGAAGCAGGGGAGATGAAGGCACCTAAAGTGTTTAAACCTCAGGAGCCCACATGGCCCTGTGAGCACTCAAACCAGGACTAGGTCCGTGATGGCCAGTAATGGTGTCAGTGATGGTTATGAGCAAAGATAAGGCGCTGTCCTTGTTCTTTAGAGAGGTTAGGGAAAATCACTGAGCGTCCAGGAGGGGGCTCCCTAACAACAGTTAACTACACCCAACACACTCACCTGGGTAGTTTGGTGGTTGTGCCTGCCTCTTCTTTATGCTCCATGGGCTCTCAGTTTCCCCGATCCTACCAGGGAGGATCGGGTTTGTGGGTGAGGGAAAGAGGGGAAGGAGAGAGTGTGGCCTGACCTTCTTCCCTGCCCAGACCTACCATTCACCACCAGGCGGGTCCGAACAGTGGTAAGAGGCACGGAGAGGGCAGCGATTCCTGGCGGGCCGATCATGCGGAACCAACCGCTGAAACGACGCTGTTGATGCAATGCGCTTACGCGTGTGGGGAGCTGCGATCTCTTTCACGCGCTGTTCCTGGGACCAGCAAGGTCCTGTGTCCACTACCGGCCATGGTCACTGTTCACCCACGTCCACCTGCGTTAGGGAACCTGCGCATGCAGTGTAAAGGGAGCTTGGCACTATGTTCTACTTAAGAACTTATTTTAGTAGTCCAAAAATAAGTCCTCTTAAGTTCTACTTAAGATCTTATTTTAATGCGTCAGACTGCAAAGTCGTTTGAACTGCAAGGCCAGTGGTTCAAGCTCACCAGCTACTCCTTGGAAACCCTATACAGGGTTGCTATGGGTCGGAATCGACTCTACGGCACTTAACAACAACTACTACTCATAACCCTGGGTCACAGAGAATGGAGGCTTTAGATAACCTCATCTTTCTCTCGTAGAACAGCTGGTGGGCTTGAACCCCTGACCTTGTGGTTTGAAGTTCATTGCTTATCTTATGGAGCCACCATGCATGGAAACCTTTCTGATCACCAGGGCCTTTTCCCGAGGATCCTCTGGGTGAACTTGAACTTCTAACGTTTCATGTGTTGACTGATTCTTTATAGATCTCATTTTGAATAACTGACAGTCCATTGAATGGACACACCATAGGTACTTAGTCAATTCCCTATATTGGGCGGTTCCATTGTTTCCAATTCCTGGTGTTTTACTTAGGGACTCTGAGTTTATCTTAATGGTGGTAGAATAAATTGAAAGATTGTGAGAATGGTTACACAATTTGAATGTAATCAGTGTCACTGAATTATATAGAAATTAATTGAAATGACATATTTTTGTGTAATTGTCACTACAATACTAAAATGTAAATAAGGCAAAGAGATTAACATCTTGGTTCTCATTTAAATTTCTTAAAAGGTAGCTTCTCCAAAGTGGCTGCGTGAGTTTCTTGTGGTGTATAGAGCCCTCATCCCAGGGCACCAATCCATGTGCTGTTGGGTTGAAGGCCTGGGCTGGAGATGCCTTCCTGGTGGCATCTCCCAATGATATTGAAGTTTAGCACAGCCCACCTGAGGGTGCAGGGAAGTCCACAGTTCCGCCTCCTACCCCTGGTCTCCCATGCACTCAGGTGCAGCTGGTCCGGTCACTGGCGGCCAGTCGGAAGCAGGCTGTGGAGCATTCTGTGAGCCTGAAGAGTGGTAAGACACCCCTGATGAAGAAGGTGGACGTGCTTGAAGGAGAGATGCTGTCTCCTCAGCAGCAGAAGTGGGCACACAGCCTGCCCAACGACTGGGTCACGGAAAACCCTGTGCTTCTCAAGTAAGCCCTGCCACTCAGATCACATCCCTACAACCTGTGTGTCCCATGGGCTCTTCAGAAAAGTTAAAAAGAGTGCACACAAGATAAGTCCCAGGTGGGAATGAAGCTTAGGTACTTGGCGGAGGGACGTAGTAGCTCTTATTTCGTCTTTGTGTCCTTCCTCTCAGTAAGTAATGATGGATTGAGAACCTAGGACCAGGCTCTGGGTATGGGAATCCCACCTTCACGCAGCTTGAAATTCTAGAACTGAAAGAGCAAATGAATACATATGCCAAACACTTAGCACAGGACCTGTCACTAGGTCCCTCTGATCCTTTTTCCCCATGTGAAGATTTCTCAGTTAGCACCCACAGTGTCTGACAACAGGAAACATGAGCAGTGCTGGTTATGAGACTGGGTGCTGCCTTGGGGTTCTCTGGAGTCAGGTGGGGTCCAGAGACTCTCTCTCCCATGTGCCAGCCAGCAGCCCTGGGACCCAGACATAAACTGTTCTCTGTTTGTGCTACAGGGAAAGGAAAAGAGCCAAGAGGAAGAAATATCAGGAGAGTGAGAACACCATTGCTGCCCGGGAAGTGCGGGGCCTCAGAGACACCATCGGTGAGTTTCTGGTCCTGCCCCAAGGACAGATCTGACCAGGACAAGAAGAGCCCTGCAGGGAGGGATCAACCAGGAGACAGCACCCACTCTTCCTTCTGCTCCATCATTTACTGGGGTTTTCGCCTTGGGATCTCGGGTGTCAACAAGGCATGTGGCCTTACACATTTCCTGTGAAGTGGAGGTCAGACATGCCTCTACCTTATAGTCATCTTCAACCACCATCTCTCCCACACCACTCTCTGCTTCACATCTGGGTTCGATAATTCATTGTAATGGCCACACTGTACTCATAACAATACACACGATTATGCAGATTATTAGGGAAGTGAACAGGTTACAATTCAGGACCAAAACCAACTCAGGACACAGCAGTTTTCTAATCAGGAATGCCTCTTCTCTGCCGTACGGCAAGCACACCTCAGTCTTGTCTTCACCTTCTCAGCTATGTAGCCCCATGTCCTCTGCCTGCCTGGGCAAGTGTTACAAAGCTCTTCTCGGCAGTTTGCTAAAGCCCAAAGGTACATTTTGCAATCCAGTCTTCGGCCTGTAGGGTTCTGCCATGGGCCTAGAACCCTCAGCTGCTCTGTCTTTCCATGCCTCCACCTCTGCCATCACCCACTTTTCTGGGTAGGGATCATGTTCCATTCATGCTCTTCCTTATTGATAGTCCTGGGATCATCTTTTCCTGTTTCTGAGACTGCTCCTTTTAAACCTAGCTGTATGGCAAAGCTAACCAGTCCTAGCCTTAGAGTCCTGTACACCTTATTTGCATGGTCCCACCCAATCACCTGGTGAGAATTAAGAAGACATTGGATAAAAAAGCCAATTCAAGTAAATTCAAGATACTACACAATGTTATACTTACCATTGTTGTGTTGTTGTTAGGTGTCACTGAGTCGGTTCTGATACATAGGGACCCTGTATAGGGTTTCCAAGGAGCAGTTGGTGTGTTTGAACCGCCAAACATGCAGTTCAAACTAACCTTGAGGCCCAGCGCATTATACTGCAGCACCACACCAGGATACTAAAAAAAAAAATTTTAAATACAAAAATAGAAGACAGGATGAGGTCTGGGAGAGTCTCCAAAACAGAATTACAGAATTTCTGTGCCCCAAGGGACACATTACTCTCCTTGTTTCGATAATATCATTAACCAGGAAGCCCACCCAAGCTTCAGTGTTTTAAGAGTTTTTATTAGGGTTGCATTTCTTTGTTAAGTGCCTTCAAGTCGGTTTTGACCTTATGCACAACAGAACGAAACACATCGCAGTCCAGTGTCATCCTCAAAATCTTGTTACATTGGTTACCACCATTGCCATAGCAGCAAAAACAACACCTATAATTTTATTAAAAGATTACTCTAACAGTATGTAGGAATGAATTTGGTCTTGATTAAAGAGAACTCTGACATTTATCCCAGGATCCTGAGAGGTAAATCCTTGAAACTTCCAGAGTAATGACAGTTGATTTAACAAGGGAACTCACTGTGAGCTCTGACATCTGTCCAGTCTCTGGGGAGGGAGGGACTAAAGACCGAATTAAACTACATGCACCATCAGTTAATGAAACACTCTTGTCTATGTAATAAAGCTCCACTAAAAATTCTGAACACAGCAGTGCAGGTGAGCTTCCTGGGTTGATAATACTCTATACATGCTAATACTGAAATTGTAACACATCTTGAGAACAATGAAATCTTCATGTTTGAGGAGGAAAATATCTTGTTATGTTTGAACCCATTGATGCTGCCACTGTGTCATTCTGTCTCTTTGGGGTCTTCCTCTTTTTCACCGACTCTCTACTTTGCCATGCCTTCAGGGACTGGTCCCTCCTAACAATATGTCTGAAGTATGAGAGATGAAGTCTTACCATCCAGGTTTCCAAGGAGCAATCTGGCTGCCCTTCTTCTAACACAAATTTGTTGGTTCTTCTAGCAGTCCATGATACATTTAATATTTTTCTCTAGCACCATAATTTAAATGCTTAGATTTTTCTATAGCCTTCCTCATTCACTATCCAAATTTCACATGCCTATGAGGCAATTGAAAATACCCTGGCTTGGGTCAGGTGCACATTAGTCCTGAAAGCAATATCCTAGCTCTTGAACACTTTAAAGAAGTCTTGTGCACTAGATTTGCCTAGTCCAGTATGTTATTTGATTACTTTCTTTTTTTTATTTTCCAACTTTTTATTGTGAATTGAGTGAAGGTTCACAGAGCAGATCATCAGTTTTACATTCAACAAATCATACACTTTGCTTCATTGTGTGGTTGCAATCCCCTCCCTGTACCAACAGTTAACAGCATTTATCTATTGCATTCCTCCCTGTGTCTCCTGCTACCTTCATCTTTCCTCTGCTAATCTCCCTCTTGTTGTATACTGCCTACCCTGTCACCCCTGTTAACATGTGTCTACCTCCTAGCCCATGAATAATCCCCCCATCATCATATCAAGTTTTTCTTGATAAAAGGTTACTTCATTTATTAAGAAAAACTTTTAAAAACTTTTTTATGCTGGTCACATACAATGTTTGTCCATTTGTGATTGACTAATTTCACTCAGCATAATGTCCTCCAGGTTCAACCATGTTGTGAGGTGCTTCACAGGGTCATCATTATTCTTTAACATTTTGTAGTATTCCATTATGTGTATGTACCAAAGTTTGTGTAACCATTCTTCTGCTGATGGGTATTTAGGCTGTCTCCATATTTTTGATACATCTCTTGTAGACAGTATATTGAAGGATCTTGTTTTCTTATCCCTCCTGCTCTCTATGCCTCTTTTTCCCCCTCATTCTGCAACTAAGCACACTCATGAAAGCTGGTAAGCCAGCCACTTGGTGCCTTTGTAGCCCCTCCCACCCCATTTTTGATAGCCAGTGTCTAAATTTCTCATCCCTACCAACCCAGTACACTGAGGAAACAAGGTTGTTCTTTGATATGAAGAATCCTTCCATTCTGGTTGGAATTTTGAGTCACTGCACGCATAGGCAAAAGTCTAGTTTGTCAAATTGTAGCAATTTGCACTTGTTCTCA